TATTTTTAAACGTTATCTTCATGTAAAAGCAATGCGCATCGAATCCTTTTTTTTTCTATAATTTTGGAGCAGTATTTTTCGTTCTTTATTTTGATAGTGTTCTTTTCTTTTCTTTTAGGGGAATAATAATAATAATAATGATAATGATAATGATAATGATAATGATAATGATAATGATAATGACAATGATAATGATAATGATAATGATAATGATAATGATAATGATAATGATAATGATAATGATAATGATATTGATAATGATAATGATAATGATAATGATAATGATAATGATAATAATAATATTTATAATAATAACAACAACAATAAAAACAACACCAAAACACTTCTTGTATCAATTGAGTATTACAGAAATTTGTGTAAAATGTTTAGCCTTTCGGAAAAAAAAAAAAAAAATTGCATCTGACACCTTTTCCTTCGGGCGAAATATGTAATCGTAAAAGACTGCGTGTTTTGGCGCGAAATGAATGTCATCAGGTGGATGTCGTTAAAAAAACAAAAAACAAAACAAAACAAAACAAAAAAAAAACGAAGGAAATAAAAAAGGTAGAGAAAAGGAAAGGAATGTTACAGTTATTAACAACATTGCTAAAAAAAATAGTAATAATAATGAGAGAGTGAAAAAAAAAAATATAAACTGAACTTAAATACAAAATATATGTATGTATTTGTTATACATATGCATTTGCCTCTTGATTTTTTTTTTCTTCACACGAATACCATATATTTCAAGTTATATTAATGACAAAGCAATATTCGTTTTTTTAAAGCAATATATAGAAGACATACACGGTGATACATCTATACGCAATGAAGCCGAACATTTTTTGAAAATCTTTGTAAACATATTATCGCTTGTTCATTTATTATTGTCATTATTATCATTATTACTATTATCATTATTGATATTAGTAGTAGTATCATTATTGTTTACTGCTATCATTATAACTACCATTATTATTGTTATTATTATCAATATTATTATTATTGTTGTTAATAATATTATCATTGTCAACATTATCATTATTTTCTGCATTATTGTTATTATCATTATTTCTATTATTATTACTATCATTATTATAATTATTACTACTACTATTATTATTGTTATCATTACCTTTATGCTTTGTCATTACCGTT